TTCCAACTGCTGAACTCCCCTGCGATCACTGAACCTGAAGTGGAGGTGACGTGAATTATATCACTTCCGGTTTCAGTGTGTTATTTCTCCTGCTGCTGTATCCGGAGAAGAAGCTGGTGAAGCAGATCTCCACTTCATCAGCTTCTTTGGGGGTCCATAGCTGACATTAGAGGTCTAATTGACTCCCGATGTCTCCATAAAGAGTACCTGTCACTGTATCTATTCTATCACTTAGGGAGCTTGTTAGCTGCACACTCAGCTCACAATCTTCTCCCTGCAGAGAGTGGTGACTGCTCGTCCCCTCTCTCTTTTCCCCCATTGCTCATTGGAGGGACAGACAGAGGAGGTGTGGGCACAGCTGGCTCTGGCTCTAGAGAGGCATAGCCAGCTGTCAATCAGGTAATGGGGTGGATCCAGACAATATTGTCAGGATCTTTCCCGGATGCAGCACACCTCTGCTCTGCAAGTGTATAGCGGGCAGTAGCCTGCTAAATGCTGACATTGGGTTACAAGAGGACATTAGCAAATGTACTTCTGTTACCTAAAAGAGGACTAAAGCCAAATAAAAGGTTTGGCTTAAGTTCTCTTTTAAGCTGGCCGTACACCATTAGAATTTATTTTTGAATTGTTAGTTTGATTTGCTAATAGTTAATGGGATCAAACTGATGATCATTTTTGACCATAGTAAGGGAAAAATTCAGAGGAGCAGATGGAATTTAAATCCTAATTGTGAATATAGATTTTGTGCAGGAAACTTCATTTATTCCAAAATCAAATGTTCAAAACAAACGAAATTTTCGAACAACATTCTTCAAACCTCTGATGGCATTATCGAATGTTATGATGGGTTTTTGAATAAGAATGTTCATAGGAAACTCTACCAGTGTATGGCTATTATAGGCTGGACAGAATAAGTGGCAGTGACAGAGGCTGGAAATTAAAGCACTGCAAGGGTGCTTATGGTCACCTTAAATTACATGCCCTGAAAACTCTTTTAAAAAACAAAAATGTTGATGAAACTACACAAACTACCCCAGCAATCTTATATTGTGCCCAACCTCTCCCTGTCTTTGTCATATCTAAGTTAAAAAATATATAAATAAAGGGGGGGGGGGATAGAAACAAAAAAAATGATATTCTAATATTCTAAACACCATCAGACATGAATTAATTTACAGTTATCAGAATAAATTATTTATTTTTTGTGATCGTAACTCTTTAACTCCCATTGTTGAAAAGTGAGATACCAACCTAGCTTTGCTGTTTGGTAGGTATTCCTGGATCACAAGACTGGCTGAACAGATTTATACATCATACATATTGGCAGGTAAAGCAGCTAAAACAATTTCCGTATATGTATTTCAACTGCTGTTTGCTTAGAGTTCTGCTTTAAAGAAGTACTCTGGCCAAAACCTTTATTAACCCTTGCAGTGGGGCTATCCCTGCACTGCAAGTGTTAACTGCTCATTTTGGTCTAGGAAGGAAAATAAAAAAGTTATACTCACCCGATCCTCCGAGCCGCCCAGCTCTTTGACCGGTCCCTGGAGGCTGGAGCCTCTCTCCCCTTTGGCTGCAGAGGTCTAAGGTCCCTGAGTAATCACGTTCTATACAAAGCGTATAGGACGTGAGGTCGCTGAAGGACATACCATTGTTGCAGCAGAAGAGACAGATAGGAGGGAGCGCTGTCACAGACGGCTGTCTCCAAGGATCGGGTGAATGACATGATTGAATAAACAGTAAAAGTTATTTAGATGTGAAAAAAAATATCAAGCAGCAAACTAATGGATGGTGGGGGCAGGGGAGAAATAAGTCAGCTATCCCTGAGCAGCCGGAGGAGAAGAATGGGCCCCAGATGGCCCTTTATAAAGTCAATAATCTAATGTTTGCTCCAGTATTACATTGTCATGAGGACAGTATAATAATTTGCTTGGAGAGTGCTTTCTATTAAAAAATAGATTGTTCTAGATGACAAGCAGAAAACAGAATGACAAATAATCTATCTCTGTTACTTTGGATTCTTTCCATGGCAACAAACGCTACATCGCGGCTCAATCATATTAAAGAAAAAGAGAAGGCGACTTATTGTTTCTGCAGTTGTGTTGCTGCCACCTACAGACTTTCTTCAGCCCGAAGAGAAGAAGAATATAGTTTTCAGGATGCCGAGCAGCAGTGCGTTGTAAATATGAATAAATGTTGGGTGAAAGTTCATCCCAGCGCAGTCAGTGGGAAGGATTTTGTAAAACACATTTTTGTAATGGTTTAACAGCTATATAGAATAAATCAATATTCCCAGTTGGCTTTGATGCTCCCTGTTCCTCTTTACTGATTTGATCAAAGGAAATGTATTTTTCGCAGCTCCAACATTCATCCATGTATATAAGCACTCTGAACACAGGAGCAGCAGGATGAATGCAATAGTTCTTGTTTTCTACAAGTTCCATTTGCTGACCTAAAGAGACTTGAAGAGACTGTTATCATCTGGAAACTGAATGTTCATGTTTCTGACCATGTATCATTTTACACTCATATTTATGTGTAACATGAAACATGGCCAAATCGCAGACCCCCTACCCAGGGCCAGCCCTATAATGAGGGAGCCGGAGATGGTTGCTTAAGAACTTTTAGCAACCTGTGACACTCTGGCTGTCATCCCGTCCAGCTTGTGGCAACCAGTGACGTCATTGTGCACCTCCAGCAGCCCCCTGTTCTCATCATGCATCACCAGCACAACCCCCCCAACCATGGCCTCAGGCAGCAGGGGGTCTAGGGATACCCCTTCCCCCACCCCCTCCCGCTCCCTACTTACCTGAATCAGGGGGTTCTTCTCCCTCTCAGGCTGCTACTTGTGTTTGAAATAGGAATCGCTGTGCATGGCTCTGCCAACACATCAGCATCACCCATTCATGAGTAACTACAAATTCCATTAGCCACCGCGGCAGAGGGACTTTTCAATGAAATACAAGTGTGGTGATGTCACCACACTTGTAGTCCATTGACACCTCTTCCAGTCCAAGTTACTGAATGTCCGTACCTCGCTGTGGAAATGGATGGGAGGAAGAGTCTGCAGGAGCCAGAGCCTTGCATCTGCTGATTGCGGTTGACTTAGACTTTAATGAATGTAAATTTTTCTCTTTTAAGCATTTATTATTTCTCTGCAAAAGGTGATATTATCTTTTAATGCCCAAATCCAACTAAAACTTCTATTATTTATTGCAGGGGTAGACAACCTTGGCACGCCACCTGTGCTAAAAATAAATCCCTTATATCCCATGTGAGGTTGCAAGACAGCCACAGGCATGACTTCCGAATGGGAGATTTGTAGTTTTACCACAGCTGGAGTGCCGGGGTTGCCTACCCCTGATTTACTGAATTAAGGGGGGAAGGCTTTGAGTCTCTGTCATGTCTTTATGTCTTTATTGCTATCTATGTCCCTATTGGGAGATTGTGCCTTGCAGTCAGGGCAGAACGTCATGAGAAATCTCTCCAACAGGTACACAAATAAAAAGAAAAACAAATTTTAAAGATTACGTTTTTTTTTTTTCTTATCCAGCCCCAGGGACATAATTTACTGTAGCTCTAACGAGGTTTGTCTCATGTCCTGGTGCTTGTTGCTTATTGTTAAAACCTTCACACTGGTGCCCTCGGATGCACCCTACAGTGCTGATCTTCTGATGCCGCTGCTGCCAGTATGAAAGGGTCAACATGCCTCCACCTCCTAGCAACCTGCCACGTACCTTGGTGTGAGCCTGAAGTGACGAGGAAGGCCTTCCCTTGCATCTCTCGTCTGAGCCCCACTGGAGATGAAACAGTAGTTGTGGCGCCAGAGAGGGGCAGGAGTGCCTGTGGCTGGTTTGACTGCTTGACACGCTGGATATGCTGATGCTGACAACAGGATGACAGAGGCAGCTGGTGTTCGATGGCGGCAGACACTGGTGTTAGGAGCTGAAGCATAGTCAGGAACAAGCCAGATTGGTAACGTGCGGTCAGCGTGGTACAGAAGCAGGAGACAGAAGCGAAGTCAGGAGCAGGCCGGGTCATACACTTGCGAGCAGAAAGGTACCAGATCAGGAGGCAGAAGAATAGTCAGGGACGAGCCGAGGTCACAAGGCAGGCAGCAATCAGACAGAGTCAGGAATCAAGCTGGGTCAAACGGATATCCGAAGCAGAATCACGGATGCAGTGTACAGCTGAAGATCTCTCAGCAAGGTGCAGATGCAGGAGCCATCTTTAAATAGCCGGCCTGGCACCAAAGACAGGCGTGTGCATGCTACTTGCGCGTGAGCGGTGTTGCGCCTACATCGTTTTAGCGCATGTGCATTACTAGCACCGTGGCACCAAATACGCGCATGCACATAGTTTCGTGCAGCGATCCAGGCAGAAGCTGACTGACTGATGTACCCTGACACAACCTCTATTTTATTTTACCTTGAATGGCCAAAAAAAAACCATTACTAAATGCATAAAAATATATTAAAACGCACATCAAAGCATGTTAAAATGTGCACAAAAATGCAGACGTAAAGGTGTAATCCTAGCCTTAAAGTGCTTTTACTGCTTGTTCAGAATATGTAAATATTTAAAGTGATACTAAACTCAGGAGTTAATTCTTAAAAATGAATTCAAGTGCCTTAACTATTATCAAAAAAGTATCTTATTTGTGTATCACTCGGCTGTAGATCCTCAAATCATCTCTGAATTCATACTGACACTGTCCTTCCTTCTATGGGGGGGGTCACTTTTGTTCCCCATGGTCCCTGTGTGTGTTGTAAAGTAGCCACAGCTCAATGCTCACTCCCATGATGGACTACAATCACAATACAAATTAGTAAACTAAACATGAGGTTGTAGTCCATCACAGGAGTGAGCTTGGAGCGGTGGCTACTTTACAACACACACAGGGACCATGAGGAACAAAAGTAGCCATCCTCCAGAAGGAAGGACAGTGTCAGTATAAATACAGAGATGATTTGAGGATCTACTACTGAGTGATACACAAATAAGATACATTTTTGTTAATAGTTAAGGTACTTGAGTGGATTTGTAAGGTTTAACTACCCAGTTTAGTGTCACTTTAGACATGAATAGTCAAGCAACAGGTTCCCTTTAAAGATAGCCATGTGAATTTTAGAGCAGTCGCATCAGCTGTAAGAAACATAATAGAATTAACATGTGTTGCCATTTTCTCGATTTTACTGTTCCCCTGGCAACCTGTGAAAGCCTAAAGCTGTAAAACTGGCAACAACTGTCATCATCTCCAAAATTGGAACACTAAAGTAGGCAATTCTATTGGAAAATATGTGCAATAAAAACAAGCAGAGAACATAACTTTACATATGGTCAAGTCTTCTAAGAGTGAAACAGTGACATTTACTTGGGTGGCATGCCACAATCACTTCTTCTTCTGTGATGTTGTTTAGATGGAATGATAATGGTGCAACTTCAACCAATAGCACTGCAAAAAAAAAAAAGAATTATGGATCACAAATGGACTTATAATAAAAACTAGTGAAATGCATTTTTGAAAAGCTTGAGAGCAATGATGTGAGATTATGGAATGTTGTTTCTTTTTTTAAAAGAAAGAAAATATTATTTACATCAATACACTGAACTATAACAATACACTTACATTACTTTGCCAGCTTGCGTAAATCTGAAAAGTTATGTAGATGTTGTTATGAACTGAAGCTGGCAACAAAAGAGTCTAAATATATGGAGAGAGCTTCTGGCAAAATAGCGGTTTGAAGGTTACCCATCAAAATGGACAAACATACACTCACATAAGCAGAGGCCCCATTAATAATTAAGCTGGAGCTCTTGTAAATTTTTTACTGTGAATATCTTTCAAGGATTGTATCAATTAACTCTTGTCTTTCTTGTTTTACTTGATGCCACATGGAGTACTGACCTCATAAACACGTCTGTCACTTTTTACTACTTTTTAAATGCATATATATAACAGCTAAATCGCATCAGATGGTTTTGAGCACCAGATGGGCTGATCATTCAGTACATAGATCATAGCATAGTATATAGAATAACGCAAAGCAGCCATGACAACAATGTCACCAACAGAAAACAAAACCTGTCCGGAACACTCCACTGTATGCGAAGGTTTGTCCTGCTTGATGCCCCCTGACAACTTCAACAAGATACTTGGCACCGTCTTGAGTGCCTCTATCACATCACTGTTGGCACTGGTCATGTTTTCCTTGGGCTGCAGTGTGCAACTTAAGAAATTTTGGAGTCATATCAGATATCCATGGGGTATCACAGTAGGCTTTCTCTGTCAGTTTGGAATCATGCCAATTGTAGGTTTTATACTAGCACTTGCATTCAATGTCTTGCCAGTGCAAGCTGTGGTGGTGCTTATCATGGGATGTTGCCCAGGAGGAACCGGCTCCAATATCTTGACATACTGGGTAGATGGAGACATGGATTTAAGGTAAGACAATGTGCACATTTTAATCACTCGTGCAAATAATCTGTCAAGAGGAACATCATTTATATTTCACTTTATACTTATAAAGCATTACTGGGAGATTCCACACAAAACTAATATTTCAGTAATGGAGGAATACCACTAAGCTGAATCTCAAGGATACCAGTGTGATTTTTTTTCTCAGCTCTGCCGCAGGAGGAGTCTCACTCTTTCCACTACATTCCTCTTAACATAAAATGGATACTAAACAATGTCAGAAAGGTTTTGGTGGTTTTCCTAAAGTGACACTTAACTCAAGAACTATATCTTAAAAATGCATTCAAGTACTTCAAGTACCTTAACTAATAACAAAAATGTATCTTATTAGTCACGACTCCATGCTTGCTTCTGTGATGGACTACAATCTAATGTTTCGTTTACTAATTTGTATTGAGATTGCCGTCAATCATGGGAGTGAGCTTGGAGTGGTGGCTACATTACAATACACACAGGAACCATGGGGAACAAATATAGCCACCCTCCAGAAGGAAGGACAGTGTCAGCACCAATTCAGAGATAGTTTAATGATCTACAGCCGAGTAATACACACATACAATACATTTTTGTTAATAGTTAAGGTATTTGAATGCAATTTTAAGATTTAACTACTAAGTTTAGTGTCCGTTTAAACAGCAAAGGGCCTAAATGGCTCCTGTGTGGTAGGACAGCCCCTTTCAACTACCCTGGATCTGTTTTGGTGCCAAAAAATGGCCCCCTTTAGCCTCATTATTTTATGGTTTTTTTAACAGACAAAAACATAGACCAAGATCAAAAGTACAAATAAAAATTGAACGCCATAGTACACAAGCAACAATCAAATACCTACAAACAAAACACACATAAAGAGAACACTTACAGGGCTATTCACAAAAGGGTGAAGAGTTTGGGGAAAGCAGAAGTCAACAATCTAGGACAACACAGTTCAGCTATGTTGTCCTAGATGGCTCACTTCTCCTGCCTTCTCTAAACTCTTCACCATTTTGTGAATACCCCTATTAATTAAAAAAAAAAAAAAAACTACCCTAAATAGACCCCACACATACAGTATATACAAAAAATGCACCCTGCAAATAAAGAAGTTTCTTTTTTTTTCCAAGCAAATCCCACCTAAGCAGTTCAGTGAGTGAAACTTAGAGTTTCTGCTTCGGTTAAATTTAAATTTCGTCTAAATGACTCCCCTCATCCCTGCTACCAAACTATTCATGTTTCCTAAGTTAGCAACTCACAACATGACAGCCAGGCAACTAAAAAAGTGGACAAGAGTGTCAGCATTTGTAAATATAATGCACTAATATTGTTAATAATGATAAATAATAATAAATAATATTATTTCATTTAACTTTGAACACCAAGACAGGATCACAAGGGGAATTTTGTTTATTTACACTGCCCTGTAACTGATGGGTTATTTCAAGAAACACAGAGAAAAATTACTCATTTAATAAATTAAAGTGACAATAAACATAGGAGTTAAACCTTAAAAATGCATTAAAGCAGCTTATCTATTAACAAAATTGGATCTTATTTGTGTATCACTCAGCTTAAGATCCTCAAATCATCTCTGAATTCATGCTGACACTGTCCTTTTTCTTCCTTCCGCTCCAACCTCACTCCCGTGATGGACTACAATCTCAATACAAATTAGTAAACTACATGTGATATTGCATTCCATCACAGGAGTGAGCTTGGAGCGGTGGCTACTTTACAACACACACAGGGATCATGGAGAACAAAAGTAACCACCCTCCAGAAGGAAGACAGTGTCAGCACCAATACAGAGATGATTTGAGATCTACAGCTGAGTGATACACAAATAAATTACATTTTTGTTAATAGATCAACTGCTTAAATCCTATTGTATTATTATTGTATGTCCATACATTAAGAAACATCTCTCCCTTAATCCATCTCTCTAATTAATGCAAAATTGTAACAAAACAGTTTTAACAACAATCATAAAGATTTAGTCATCCCTTTAAAGCAATATATAAGTGATAACAGATCATTTGCAACTAATACCAACATCTAAATTACAACTCAACTTATATCAACATATGAATTATAATGCAACTAATATCACGTATCAGAATGTTATATCTCTGGTAGGTGTCATGACCATTAACACATTTATCTGATAAATAGATCACTATAAAATAAAAGTTCAGTCTGTCACAGTAGATAAGACACTTAGATGAGTCACACCTATTATACACGCATACAAGTCACATGCAGTTTGCACTTGTCAGGACTGATGAGACCTGGGCAGTACATGCTGTACAAATGACTGCAACAGACATGCTAGGAATACCATAGGCTGGCATACATGTTCTGATAATCTACATTGTTCCTGTTTGACCTTTTTAGTAATAGTAGAGGTCGAGGACCAATTTCACAGTATTTTCCAGTCACTTCCTAAAACCACATGCATACAGAATCATTCATGTTAATTTCTGCCCGAGGCAGCATGTATTAGTCTGCCCTTTCACAGTAAGCCCCACTACCACCAGGGGCTAGATTTGATAGTACATGCCGCAGGAAAGCAACCTAGTGGTAGAGGTACAGGGGAGATTTAGTAGCTTAATAGTGTTGCTAAAATTGCTGTTGATTAATCTCTAAGTGGAGAGACTCATCACTGAGAGATGTATTAGCATGGAGTAGAAATACATTTCTCATCATAGCACAAAGCTCTAATTGTTTGTGTGTTACTGAATGCTACTATATGCTACCTGTGTAGTTTACACTATAGGCAGCCATTTGTCCCATCTGTGTAGCAACCAATGACTATTTGTTAGTGATTTTAGAAGCACAATTGAGCTACTATTCTCTGTAGCTCTATCTCCTGTGTACCTCCAGCATAAAGTTGGCCATACAAGTGACAATTTTCTTTCAATTTCAACTACTTTCAAGCCGCTGGTAATTGCAAATACATTCGCAAGTAATCAGCAGAAACTGAGGCTAGCCATATCCACATATACTTCTCCCATTCAGGGATGAAGGAATTTCTGCTGGCAGCTATTGGTTGTCTGATTACATGAACAGTTAGTGAATGCAGCTGCTGTTCGCCTGACAATATGCTAAACAGCACATATAGTTCAGACTTTGGTCTATTCAGCAGGAAATCAAGCCCTGTATGGCTACCTTAAGAATCTACCACCCAAGTTTAATTGATTGTGAAGTGGAAATTGGTCAATAAATTCACAGCTTCAATACAGTTCATTGAAAATTTGAACTGAAATTAAATCAAAATAGGTAAAAACTACAGGAAAATTAGATTTTGTTTTCCACATTGTATGACCAGAATATGAGTGCAGATAAGGCATTCTTGTGTATTGTACAGTATCTATAAAAAAAAAAAACAGGATTTAGCTGGAAATCATAAAGCAAGGTGAGAAGCTTATCTCACGCCGCCAAGGATAATGTTCTCATTCTGTTTCATGATAGGAATGACCCTACATATAAACTGCTTGGAATTAAATCTGAAATTCTTTTTTTTTATTCTAAATAAAAGTCCTTATCAACATGACTATCTCCTTAGATAACATTTGTTGCAGCATTTGTGATAAATACATTTTATCTTATCTACATTATCAGTTTCAGTACGTTCATATCTCAGCACATTTCACACAAAAAACAGGTAGGTAGATAAGGCAACAGGAAATGACCATTGACAATAATTGTTGATATTCAACATAGTTTGCACTATGAGGTGTATTGTGATTTAGTGAAGTACAGCACACTTACAAAGAGGTGCAAACATGTGCATGATGAATGTGGTATAATGACATTGATATCCCCAATTACTTGTTAAAAAAAAAACCTCTCTCTTTATCTTAATGTTTGAGTTTAGTTGAGTTTTGGCAACTGTGTTTGCCATTTTCCTAAAATAACTTCTTGTCTAAAACTCTAAAAGATTAGTTCACCACTTTTCCAGTATGACAGCTACCTGTTTGATTCTTTATAAATGTAGTGGAAAATGGTTAGTGCATACTGTATATGTAACACCAACAAGGCAAACATGATCATCAATTCATAATTAGCTTTAAGCAAGGTGCACATGGAAGGGCTTTACAAAGTACAAAAACTAAAATTTTCCAGCACACTCGCCAGCCAGCCTGCAAAAAAAACATAAAAAAATTAAATTAAAACAAATACACTGTGTAAATAATGGGGGTTAAACACAGAGGTTTTAGTTGCACAACGTTTGCAAAACATGTGGAAGCCACACTGCCTCATCCAGGCACCTCTGTGTAGGGTCGTCCTAACTCTAATCTGGTTGGTGTACATGTTTCCCACAGTAGCATAAGAGGGGTACAGAGCTATAAATTGGCTCCAATGTTTTTATTGACTGGGTTCAAACCTGACAATACAAGCTCTTTCTCAGGTATTGTTCAATTGCATGTTATATCTCTAATCCACTGAAAAGACTTTAATTTGGTAGTTTGTGCCTTTCAAAGTTATCCCTACTTGGACAGATTGGTGAAACTTGCATTGTCAGATGATACTATGACACCATAGCTATCTTTAGAGCCACTATACTTGAATAGTCTTTCTTGAAGACACAGAAAAAAGTGGAAACCCTGTTGGCAAATGGTTGCAATGGGATAATAATCCCATACTATAAAAAAAAATAAAAAATTTGCAAAGCCTAGAAGGGAGGTCAAGGGGGTCTACAGCATATAGCGCTGTAGAGTAAGCAGGCAAGTAAGTTTCTTTAGGATACTGAAACAAGAAATAACATTTGTACTATAAAAACTCGACCTCTGTTGCTGCATTCTTTTCCCCGGATTTTTATAAATTGCCCCCTAAGCCTCATTGATCTGTATACTACAAGGAAGCTTCACTAAAGACTATTACAATTATTTAGCATATGGGTGTAGAGGGTAATGATAATGCACAAGATGTAGTAACCCATAGCAAGTAGAACACCATTTAAAGTAGTAATGTAGGTGAAATAATTATTTTGATTTGCTGCTAGAAGTTACTGCATTTTGCTTTTTGTCTTGCTAAATCATGAAAAATGATATTAAAAGTGAACTATGGGGTAAGTGTTTTTCCCCATAGTTCTCCTAAGGGTCACGGGAGGACATATACTAACCTCCTCCCGTGACCCAAAGCTCAGTATATCGCAAACTACAGCTCACGGCATATTGAGACCGCCACAGCCGGGACGGATCCCGACAATGGTGTCGACATCCACCTAGCTGCGTGAATTACAGCTGGCTCTGCTTATCTAGAGGCAGAGCCAGCTGTACCCGCCCCCTCCCCCGTCCGTTCCTCCAGTCAGAGCTGGAGGATCGGAGCGGGCAGGGGGAATACCTGCGGGTAGCGGTGACTGACAGCCACCGCTCTCTGCAGGGATATGATCGAGAAGTGAGCGAGCGATGGTATGCAGTCGCTCACTTCCCGATCTATTGAGCCGACGTGTGACAGTTTTATTGACACACGTCAGCTCGAACTATGAGGATGAGTGATTTTCATTCACCTCATAGTTCTCCTTTAATATACAATGTCACTAGAGGAAATTCACATGGATGTTACTAATTTGGCTGCTTACTCTTCCTAACCTAAAATAACCAAGCTTTAACATATTTTTTTTTTGTTTTATCCACAGTTTAAGTATGACCACCTGCTCTACATTGTTTGCTCTGGGCATGATGCCCTTATGTATCTTTTTGTACTCAAAAAAATGGGTTGACTCAGATGCCATCGTTATACCTTATGACACCATTGGTAAGTATATCAACAGCAGTTGTAGTCTTTACAGTTATTAACATATTTCTTATTAATATTACATACATTTCTGATTTTAGACCTTTATAGTTACACTATTTAGATCCCCATATTTCCTTAGCTATATACACTGATAATCCTGCAGTTGACACCTTTTAGAATTTGTTATCTGATGCACGGGGGGAGTTGATCTAAAAAAGTTACATTTTCACTTAGCAATGGAACTTGTTGCGGAGGAATTAACAAAACAATAGCAATTAGATTTATATGTGATTGAATGAATAAAGCTGAACTCCAGGCACAAAAACTTTTGTTTAAATATATTCTTCAATAGCTACAAAGGTTATAAATCCAATTTTTGCACACCAAATGCCTTTAAAATTAGGGATGTTCAGATACCAGTGCCGATACTTGGCATTTTCATGAGAACTACCAAGGTTGCAGCGCTCGCTTGCAGCTGGGACCTAGCTCTGGCGCTCCACCACTGTCCTGAAATCATTAGTCAATATTGTTTTAGGAAAACTGTCACATGACAATAAACAAAAATGTATCAGTACTTGAGTCTGTAAGTACTTGGGCAGGTATCAGTACTTGTACTTGCAAAAATGGTATCGGTGCATCCCTTTATATATGTTTGTAAAAACAAGATCATACAATAAAACAGATATGTACAAATCCCAGGAGCTCCGTGTGCTCCTTACAAATGACAGCTAATATAAGATAATATGATTATTTTTACAAGTAAGTCTTTATAGAAAAAAAAGGGTAATGCTCCATTTTATTTATTTAAGTTGATATGTATTTAATTTTTGTATTAATTATATCTTATTCTTATGTTATAACTAAACATTTATCATAAAATGCACACCTACATGAAAGTTTAAAGCAAAGCCGTTTGTCTTTAGACCCTCTCTCTAAATACAACTTCTTACATAGTTCTCTGAACAGAGCAAGCAGTATGATGGAATACACCTCTATTTATTTAGTTGTGTGTAAACTTTAAGTTGAACTACTGTGTTTTCCAAACAGTCTTTTTTCAGCAAAATAGATAAGTTAGTTGGAAAATATGTGCAAAGAAGTCTTGCTGTTAGCTAGAGTTGAAAACACCAAATATTAATATACATAATGTCATATTCAGCTCACAAAAAAACTGTTTTAGTCCCGACCATATATGGAGGTCTCAATTTTGCTGCTGAATTTGCTGGCTCAGTGGAAAATGAAGCCATGGGTGGCCGTGTTGGCATCCACCCTCTCGACGTTTGTCGAAGGAGCTGATCCAAACATTTTTAGCCAAACATTGCCTACATCCAGTTAGAGCAAGGCACTGTTCAAGTATTCAGCAGCCGCTGAATATAATAGCTGGCAGCTGGGATTCTTCCATCCATGCGGTTCAGCGTGGATGGGCGAATCTATGGATATCTCCTGTTATCTGCGGGACTGAACAAGAGAAATTCATGTGTATGGGACTTAAGCATGCACTCTCATCCAAACAGTCAATCATATTTTTGTCATGACTGATTATGGGTTGCCAAAGTAACATATATATGGCCATTTGCAGTTTGAAGTTTACAAACCAAACCCAAAGATGCCATTATTCAGTTTTGCCTTGTCAAGGCACAAACACTTAGGGGTCTATTCACTAAGCTGCCGAGTGAATGACCGACCTGAAGTGAAGTGAGCCGAACACTGTACGGCTATTGACTTCAGGCTGGTACGGCTGATTTCAACCGTACAGCGGCTGAAATCAGCCGTACATCGGCTTGCTTCACGTGGCTTCGGTTCGGCCGAACATGCTCAGCATGTTCGACCGACCCGAAGTGCAGAATGAGTTCGACTCAGCCGATCCAACATCTGGATAGGCCGAGCCGAACCTCCGGCAGTCTACTATCTGCTGTTCGGCCTATTGTTAAAGATGCCGAACAGCAGTGAGTGAATAGCCGAATGCCGCTGAGCCTGAGGTAAAAAAAAGTAAATAGAAAACGACTGTGCGGAGCTAGCAGTGACAGCTAGCTCCACCCAATAGTTTCCTATTGTCCGGCGGCTCTGCTGCTGTATGCCAGGTATAAGCTAATTTATCCACTCCTAATAGACAGTTCTCTGTCACTAGGCCATAAAGCTTTGATCTCTCTTCAATATACTGTACCATTAATGCAACAACTGGATGTACCATCCCAGTGAAAAGGCAGGAAGAAAAACAACCTTTCACTGGAATGCTGACATACAAAGTGCTAAATATTCTTAAGAATATTAAAACATATTGCAGTCCTACATAGCCTCCAAGAATAGTGCTTGCCTATTTGCCATCCGCAAAACCTGGTTGCTTTATTAGGCAAATATCAACAACAGCTTTCAAGGCTAATTTTTTGCCACTTTCTTTTGCCCCATTACTTCCTACCGTATATTGAGGCCACACGTTGCATTTTACAGCCAATAGAAGATTGCAGGTATGTGAGAAGGACCAACAATTTAACCATGGAAAATTTGGGCATGTTTTCTATAACAGAGCACCCTACTTGTAGTGATATGCAGGTGGTCCAAAGATAAAGTGAGCCCACGTATTTATTTTAAGTGACTTTAAAGGAGGACAGATTGATGTGTCAGCACTATGTAACAACTCTAAAGCAAAGCTGCTCCATAAACATCTACACTCATGATGACCATACATATTCATGTTCATGTGGGGAGGAGGGAGAAATAGGCAGAAAGTGTCAGTGTCTGTGCATCTATGATATCAACATTGAGCAACACATTTGGTCCTGTCCGATCAATTGTATACTATGCAGAACAGAAATCTGGGGCTTACTGCAGGTAACATGACTAGATATAGAGTTGCATGTTTCATTTCTATGAGCTTCTTCACAGTTCCTCATAATGAAAATGGTATCTGTAAAAACATAGATAAATATGGATGACTACAGGGCTAATTTTACCAGGGAATATGCTACGTGTTTTAACCCAAAGCCATCATTCAGCATTCATTTTAATTGTTCTAAATACTCCAACTATAAATTATAACATTTGATTGCTCTATGGGGGGCTACTGCATCTTTCACAGCATAATTGCAATTTCTATTGCGGTTTTAAACAGTCACCAATATGTAAGTTTTATATAAAGAGCCACATCAGTTACTAACTCTCATTAAAGATCTGTTTCTTTGCCCCGGTGAAGCTTCTAGTTTTTGGTGACATATTACAGGAATAGCTGTATGCACTGTCATTAGCACCTAGCAGCAAAGTGTGAAGGGAGCACAGTAAAATTATCTTCAGATATGATAATTTATGCATAAAGTGCAAATAATTAACCTATGCAAAATCGCCAATGCCTTCTCAGGAACAACAGAGTGGAGGCCAGTAATACATTTACCAATTCACACTTGACTGTTTTATCTTCGCTGACACTTTGAAACTCATTGACTTGGAATATATTATTTTAAGCTCAGTTCTTTCAAAAGTGCAGTATAATCACATAGCTCACTTACATTATCCAGGTAGTGATTTTTTGTGAGCACAGCTCAATTGACTTTTTAAAATGTTAGAAACAAATCAAGCGCAGGTGATAAGTAGACTAGATAAGGGTATACATTATTACAAATGATTAACACTAGTGGGGAGGTTAGTGGATGAGAAAAATTTAGCAGATTAAAGGATGCACAGAGTACCTCAGCATACCAATTAGTTGCCATTGCAGCATAGTACAGTGTCAGATGGGTTTCTCTGGTGTTGCTTTTGAAAATAAACAAAGCGCTGAATCATTTAAGCAGCATTCAACTATTAGGATGCATGGCCCATACATAGTAAAATGTAGGATCATGGTAACTCACCTACTCTTGTTCAGATCAGATCATCTGACATAACTCAATCTGGCCACAGATGGATATAAGCAGTGTTGCAGTGCATGGCAATGCCACGGTGTAGTGTGGCACTTTGGCACCCAGGACTCTCAGCCAAAGGGGCTGAGAGGGTCCAGAATTTGAACCATGTTATAAGGAAGAGCCTGGCTTTTCAGGTTCGTGCAGGTTTACCCAATAGTAGCTGGGATCTGGAGCTCTGGAGATCTCTTAGAGCTCTGGGTGGGATGAGATCTCCAGTCATGGGGCCAGGTGTTGCCAATGACCAGTATAGCTGGATCAGGTGGCTGAGAGCAGCCTTATTAGGAGTCTGGACCAGAGTTCAGGGAGTTGGAGTTGTGTTGGAGTTGTGTGTGTGCAGGAGGCACACGGACACACGCAGACTCGGGTGCGTGCTGGACGCACAAGGAACAGCCGGGGGAGGCTGGGAGAGGTCAGGAAGGTTGGTGACCGTAGGACCTGTGGTACACACTGCTGAGAGGGGTGAGCAGCTAGAGTTTCTTGGAGCTGTGAAAAGCTACAGAGTGAATCTAAAAGAACAGGTGAAACTGTCTTGTGCAACAGGGGAGGTCTACCCTGTGGATGGAACGAGATGTATAGTGTTTGCCCTTAATAAAACTGCATTTTACTTGCACCTCCTGTCTACAGTGGAGTGTCCTTGTTAGAAGAGATGTCAAAGTCGCCACACTACACCATGGCATTGCCATGCAGAGCTACAGCAGGATTGATCAGACTGCCCTCAGCTTTTTTCGGCCCATGTTTTATTTGCTTAGCTTGGCTTATCAGGGAGAAACTTCTTAGATATTAGATCTTAGCTTCAAACTATCAGGATGTATGGCCCATTTATAGTAAAATGCAGAAGCATGGTAACTCACCTACTCTTGCTCAGATCAGATCATCTGACACAACTCGATCTGGCCACAGATGGATATGCAGGATTGATCAGACTGCCCTCAGCTTTTTTTGGCCCATGTTTTATTTGCTTAGCTTGGCTTATCAGGGAGAAACTTCTTAGATATTAGATCTTAGCTTCCAACTATCAGGATGTATGGCCCATTTATAGTAAAATGCAGGAGCATGGTAACACACCTACTCTTGCTCAGATCAAATCATCTGACACAACACGATCTGGCCACAGATGGATATGCAGGATTGATCAGACTGCCCTCAGCTTTTTTTGGCCCATGTTTTATTTGCTTAGCTTGGCTTATCAGGGAGAAAATTCTTAGCTATTAGATCTTATCTTCCAACTATCAGGATGTATGGCCCATTCATAGTAAAATGTAGGAGCATAGTAACTCACCTACTCTTGTTCAGATCAGATCATCTGACACAACTCAATCTGGTCACAGATGGATATGCAGGATTCATCGGACTGCCCTCAGCTTTTTTGGCCCATGTTCTATTTGCTTAGCTTGGCTTATTAGGGAAAAAATTCTTAGGGGTATATTTATAAAACATTTCCAGAGTGAACAGCTCTGGGAATATCTGAGTTTTAGATTCGCTGCACATTATGGCCACTAGATTGAGCCGAGGAGCATATTACATCTAGTGGCCATAATGTGCTGCGAATCTAAAACTCAGACGTTTGCAGAGCTGTTTACTCTAAGGACATTTTATAAATACACCCCTTGGTTACATACTGTATTTATGATGGAAAAAATTAATGTCCATTAGATTCAGCCTAAAAAAACAACTTACATCCTCAGAACCCTGAATGGCAAGTGGCCATGAGTCCTAGCACCACTTATGTTAAGAGTAAAACAAGGTTTCCAAACCTGTCAGAGTGATCCTTCCTCCCGAAAGCTGAATCCTTGCTGTTATAGACAGTAGATCTTTATCCAATTTAGCTAAACAAAGACAAATTGAACAATAGCCATACTATTTCTATGGTTTTAGGAATATGCAGCCTGAACAGTAACAGGCCAAGGGGGGTATTTGTTGGCCTCAGATGCTGGGAAAAGGTTGAAGCATGTGTGCTAAGAACATTTCATGTCTAAAGTAACCTTCAAAACTGTGTCCTTGGGAGGAAAAGGATAACTTACTGAAAAATTGAACTTATTTTATTCCACACGGACAGATAATTTGAAGTATTAAATAAGTTGTGCTAGTTTAAATCCTTACTTCTTTTTATTCTAGGCATCTCATTGGCGACATTGGTTATTCCTGTTGCAGTTGGAATGTTTGTTAACTATAAGTGGCCAAAGCAGGCAAAGAAAATTCTAAGGGTATGTAAAAAAGAAAAAACTGAAACGGCAAAGAAAAAATGGCAATAGTACATGTCAACTCTGATACCACTGATACAGTATGATCATTACATTTTAAAACAGTATGGGACACATGCAAATGTGTTTTAGTAGCACATTTTTAAAAAAATCTCTAGGCATTTTTATGTTCCAAAACAAATGATTTTGACAGTGCCATATGAAAGACAACTCAAAGTATAGATAAAAAACGGCTTATATGGCATTTGCTTTTGTACTATAAATGTAATATGAGCTTAAACAATGTACTGTGTAAATAAACTATACAGGTTTAGATTTAATCCTGCATACTGTAGTATCAACCAGGGTGCCTTTTGCACAGCATCTTGCCTTTCTATGGTGCAGGCAGGCTTCTGATGTAAAGGGGGCCCCAGGTATAAAGGAGGGACTCTTGTGAAAGGGGGCTCTTGATGTGAAGGGGAATTTGTGATGTAAATAGGGGCTCATATGGACTTTGGAGGGGCCACATGTCGATTTTCGCATATTAGATTGGGCATGCCTTAATATTTTGCATTTTAAAGTGTACCTTGACTGAAAAAAGGTTGAGAAACGCTGGTATAAACCCACAATATTGGAAATCAGCTGTTGGCTATGACAGTTTTTTTTAAAACTTTTTATAACTCCTTATTAAATCCAGCATTATGTATCTCTTATATTTATAAAGCCGAGGAAGAATCCTAGTACATTCTAAGGGGAATGTATCAAAACTGGAGCAGACAAAAAGTGGAAGAGTTGTGCAGGGCAACCAATCAGCTTCATTCTTTCATTTTCAAATCTTAACTGAACAATCTGAGGAGAGAAGCTGATTGGTTGCCATGCACAGCTGCTCCAGTTTTTGTCTGCTCCAATTTTGATACATTTTCCTCAAAGTGCCTCGATTTTAGTCCGTCTAATTTTTTGCTGCTCAGCATGTTGTGGTGTTGTGTATGCACAGAGGATTAATGGCTAAAATCCCCATTAACTTGATACAGGGCAGTACAGTGGCATAGTGGTTTGCACTTCTGCCTTGCAGCACTGAGGGTCCCTGGTTTGAGTCCCAGCCAGGTCACTATCTGCAAGGAGTTTACATGTTCTCTCTGTGCTTGTGTTGTTTTCCTCCAGGTACTCTGGTTTCCTCCCACACTCCAAAGACATGCAGGAAGGTTTATTAGCTCCCGTCTAAATCAGCCTTTATGTGAGAGAGGAACCTTACATTGCAGGCTCCTTGAGGGCAGGGACTGATGTGAAAGTGCAGTATGTAAGTTGTGAGCGATATATTCAGTAAATACCTGTAATAAATATTGAATGGCAACAGCTATCAAACACAGTGAGTCTTTCTTTGAACCAATAATACATTATTGGTAAAATCAGTCATTCATTAATTGAAAACAGTGAGTGGTCAGCCAATTGAACATTCAGCATTTTATAAATACAGCAAATGTTATAGAGATCTAGATTTTCCACTGAAGAATGGAATATTAAAGTGATAGGCCGTCATTAATGCAGATCTTTGTTTTATGTCTCTTTAATTCCTCAGTTCCTCATTCTCTGGTGGGTCCTCGCATCGCTCTCTCTCCTGCCTCCTGCATGGGTGTTTCCATCAGCTAAGCGGCTGCTGTGGAGGCACCTGTGCGTGCACGTTCCCGGCCGTGCCTGCAGTAGCTGTGAGCGTCCATAGACAGACACAGCTCTGCGGTAGGCCACGCCTCTCCTCTCAACAGGTTGATTGATGGCAGAAAAAGCCTATGGCTCCTCTGCCCTCAATCTCCTGCCCTGCAACCAGGAAGTCCGGGTGTGGGGGATCACTCTGGGGACAAGCGGCGTTGATAGGTGAGTGTGGGGGGACGGGGGACTCAAAAAGGTACTGGCCATTTTTTTACCTTAATGCAGAGAATGCATTAAGGTAAAAAATGCCCAGCCTTTAGTAATACTTTAAGCTATTCACCAAACAGCATAAAAAGAGACTGGATACAGAAGGTGAACAGGCAAATCCAGCTGTCAAGTAGACTTCAACAGTGACGTGCGGTACCTCTTGCTCCAGGTGAGGCATTCCCCAGCCCTGCCCCCACCGGATGAAGCCCCACCCCCAAACTGTCCCCAAGCTAGTGTAAAGTGTCACTGTTGAGGCGCTCCGTCCATGACAGGTTACACAGTGGGGAGCATTTCCCTGCTGTGTAACCTGTTAGATGACGATCTGAATGGAGACAAAGCTGTCAGCTTCAGGCCTAAAGCTGGCAGCTTTTTCCTCCAACCATAATTCTAGGTAAGGCTCTGCCTCCCCTGACCGCACGTCCCTGGACTTCAAGTATAGTCAATGTTCCAGTGGGTGTCTGACAGCGAAAAAGCATCAAACGATTGACATCCAAAACTATAAACTTGTTTTATAAAGCATGAAATCTTACTTAGTTAGCCCTGCTATTAGATCTAGGTCATATGGTTGATTTATACTGGCAACAGACTAGTTCTCATCAGTCTTTTCGGTATAAGGAAATTTTATCAGTGAAAGGTAACAGCCTTTCCAGCAATTTGTAGCTTAGGTGCTCAGGAATTGTCTTTTTTTCAGTGGCTTCTGTAGCTCAACTGCTGCTGATGACTATGTCTTACCAGGACTTTGTAGCTGTGTAGACATTTATTCATTATTTTATTTCAGGTATTTATACAGCGCCAACAATTAACGCATCGCTTTACATATTATATATTCACAACAGCCCCTGCACTCTAGGAGCTTACAATCTAAGATCCCTATCAATGGCATAGCCAGGGTATGGCAGATGCCATGGGCGCCACTTCGACCTACAGAGACAGCAGACTTTTTTTCTCTCCCCACCACTCTCCCATACATATCCCTCTGCCCGGCTCTTAGCAATCAGGGGCGATCTGGTCGGTGTCCCACCCAGCTCCTGGCAACCCTTGACATCACTGAGCATCCCAGTTTACTAAGAACTGGGTGGGGAGATGCGTATGGCCCTTACACATCTCCCCATCCAGGGGTGCAATTTGTTGTAGATACGCCTCTGATTCCTATCTCACATACTAGGGAAAAAACACAAACAGAGGGCGCCTTTCCTGGTGCAGACAAATTTATTAAGATCAGGATCAAAGGTAGATAAAAAACATACTCACAAAATTCTCTGTAGTCTCTGTGTGTCAGCAGAGGAGACTGTGTGATGTGTGATGACGCGTTTCCGGGGTCACGCCCCCTTCATCAGATCTGATGAAGGGGGCGTGACCCCGGAAACGCGTCATCACACATCACACAGTCTCCTCTGCTGACACACAGAGACTACAGAGAATTTTGTGAGTATGTTTTTTATCTACCTTTGATCCTGATCTTAATAAATTTATCTGCACCAGGAAAGGCGCCCCCTGTTTGTGTTTTTTTCCCCTAGATTTTGCGGTCTCCCTGGCTGGTTTGGGGGCAGCATCCTGCAGACCTTTCTACACATGTGCTTTTTATTATTAATATATTTTTTAACAGACTTGTTTCTGATTACACTTGTGCTTATATTGGTCCATACTGGCGGAGTAGTCCTTTTTGGCGCTTTTCTGTGTTCATATCTGTACTATCTCACATACTGTATATACATACAGGGCTAATTTAGACAGGAGCCAATTAACCTTCCAGCTTGTCTTTGAAATGTGCAAGGAAACCGGAGTACCCAGAGTAAACCCACATAAGCACTGGGAGAATATGCAATCTCACATTTCGTGTCCAGCTACAAATCACTAGAGATATTCTGATGTGACCTTTATATACAGTATGAACTTATATGTTTTCCAAACAATAGAATATGCTTTTAAATAAATAAACAATAATTGTATAAATGTGCTTTCTATGTAATTTACAAAATCAGAAAACTGTTGTGAAGTATTTTAACAAGCAGAAGTACCCCATACATCTGTAGACGTGTCCTCTGGAGTATATGTACCACTGGTTTGAAATCTGTGCCCTCTACAGCCTATTTGAAAAAAATATGTGCACAAAATTTTTTTTTTTAAGGATAGATGCACTTTTGATAGAAAGATGGACAACACCCTCCTCCCCCCCCCAGAAAAAAATAATAAAACTGAACTGTAGGCAGATGTAAAAAGGCACACATTAATACAAATCTGTAATATCAAAAATACATCATTAAATTAATGTAATAAACTGCATTTAAGTACATGAAGTTGACATGGTATCAGCCTCTTGCAGTCCCTGTACAGCAGAACTAGAATGTGGGAGAAAGAAGCAGTACAAGTAGTCAATCAGTTTATGTGCTGACAAGTAACATGCTAATAGGAGAAGAAAGCAGTGTGACAGAGAGAAGAGCACACTACTACCGCTGCTTCTTTTTTATAATAGGCTGAGGTAAGTCCAGGATGACCTGGGCTTAAACGAGGTGAGTTGAATGATGTTGGCCATCAGACTAAGCACATATAGTGGCAGAAAAATGTACTGCAGGAGAAACCTTTCTGTTGTAGGTGAATTTTGCAGCAACAGCTTTTTTATATTACATTTTATATTTTAATGGACTATTCATTTTATCTCTTTATTTTGGGCTAGGTTCTGCTTTGAATTAAAAAAAATCAGGTGCACACTCCTCCAAATTGTGTAGAGTCTAATATATTTATATACATTTTAGCACCTACACCTTTATTGTCTTTTTGGTTTTAGGTGGGATCTATTACTGGAGCTATTCTCATTGTTACTGTTGCTGTGATTGGTGGAGTACTATACAAGGGATCTTGGGTCATTGATCCCAAGCTGTGGATTATTGGGACTATTTTCCCCGCCATAGGTTTAAGCATTGGTTTTGGCTTGGCAATTATGTCTAATTTGTCATGGAGCAGGTATGTGTTATTTGCATATGTGCGTATCATAGATGTACGGTATTTAGGGGTTTCAAATGTATGTAGATTCTTGATATGAAGAACTGGTTCTGCAGCATATTGTCTATTAGCACAACAAACAATAACTATATATATTTGTTTACATCACAGTATCAAACATTTCAGGAGGGCACCTGCTACTAAGCCCTAAAGACTCAATTAATCTAGGTTTGCCAGGTTTAGATCCCAATAATCTGTAACTGGGGTTATTTAAAGTGGAACCGAAATGAAAAAAAGTAAACATATACTAATTTAAAGCCAAATTTTGAAATGCTAATTGCGCCTAAGCTAGTCCTTTAAAAAAATGTACATTTTGAATTAAAATTCCTTATGCAAAATAGTAGTCCCTATAGTCTTCAGCGTGGGATCTAAGGCTCCTCTAGCTGCTAGACTTAGGAGATTTGCAGTGAGATTTGGTGATCTCACTACTGTGCTGCTTACTGTTCTTTCTGGAAGCTCTGGCATCAAGAAGGAAAGCCCCGGCCCTACTAAGATGGCCACCTCTACACAGAGACATGGTGCAGAACAAGGCATAGGGAGGGCTTGTTCACACCGAAAGCGTGTGCGTTCCAGAGCGGTAGCACCGCCACACCCCCTCCCGCCCCAGAACGCGGGGGGAAGCTGTAGCTCGCGGTATACTGAGCTTAGGGTGACGGGAGGATGCTAGTTTGTGTCCTTCCATTACCCTAAGGAGAACTATGGGGAAAAGCCCTAACCCCATAGTTCTCCTTTAAGTAAAATACATTTAAAAAAAACAATAACATTAAATAAAATAAATGGAAAAATACAAAAAGTGTAAAGTTCCCCCCGCCCCTGCGAGCACGCACGTAATAACATAGACACGTGTTGGGTGCACCTACATACTAAAATAACGATCACACTACATGTTAGATATCGCCACATGTGCCAGAGGGAGAGCAATAATTAAAGGGCTAATATTCATGGATATCTCTAAACTAATGACCTGTATAAGCTTTTGAAGTGTCGCCAATGGACAATTTGGGGAACCATATTTTTTCGGCATTTCATGGACGCATGCATTTTTTCATCTGTGCATGTTGGTTATCTATTTACTCGTTGTAACCTCATTTTTTATATTTTACAAAAAAATGGGTATTATATTGTATTTTTGGGCACTAAAATTAACAAGTGCATTTTCTACTACATTTTTGGGTTTGATAAAGAGTTGCACTAGTAAAAAAAATTTGCAACTGCCCACCATTTTATTCTACAGGGACTTGTCTTTTAGAAAATATATAGGGGGCTATTCACCAAGGAGCTGAGGAATCCAGCCGTAGCTACGGCTGATCCTTCGGCTCTCTTTGGCCGCTGGAGCCCTTCGGTTCCACTATTCACTATAGCCCATACAGCAGCCAAAGGCAGCCGAGCCAAAGGCATCTGCTTCGGCTCGACTGAGCCGAAGTGACAGCCGAAGCAGGGCAAACGGCCTGCCGAAGGACAGCCGTAAGCCCCGTAAATGACAGCTGGGTGGAGCATCCCCAAATAACCTGGGCCGTTGATCTGTCCTTACACCACAACAACTGGGCGGAGCCGGCCGTGATGTCATGGTCGGCTCCGCCCAGTTGTTGTTCATTGGCCGGGACCTGCTAGAAGACACTACCAGGTGCCGGCCAATCGGAAACAGTTGGGCAGAGCTAGCTGTCATTGGTAGCTCCACCCAATTGTGTTTTTTAAAAAATATCTTTATTTATTTTTAAATGTCACTATTTATTTACATTTTTTAAATATTTTTTTAACCTTTTTTTTTTTCCTACTATTTTCACTCTTTTCTATTCTGCTTGGTACCACGGAGGTACCGAGCAGAATTGACTAGCCGAATGCCGCTCTGCTCCTACGTGAATAGGAGCGAACAGCAGCGAATGCGCTGCTGGAGCTTCGACTCAGTTGACCCAGATGTTGGATCGGCTGAGTCGAAGTCCGTCTGCACTTCAGCTGAGGCAAACATGCAGAGCATGTTCGGCTGACCGAAGATAGTAGCCGCTGTACGACTGATTTTAGCCGATGTATAAGCCAGAAGTGAATAGCCGAACAGCGTTCGGCACACTTCTCTTCGGCTGGCTTTGTGAATAACCCCCATAATGTTTGGGGGTTTTAAGTAGTTTTCAGATCTAAAATGTGGATTATAACATGTGTGCAAAAAACGCCTTGGCGGCGTCTGGGTTAAGAGGTGAATTAACTTTTTCTGTACTTGCAGGCAAAAAAGTGGTTAATTTTGTTTCGTTTCGGATTTTTCGTTATTACATTTTTTGGGATTCGGGTCTGAAAGTCAGTTCGTTTTGGGATTCAGATTCAGACGAATCCAGATTTTTTGATAATTTTGGATGCGTTAAAAAATTATGAATACATTTTCGTTGCAGCAAAGTGACGTTAGAAAAAAGTGACATTTTTCTTTTTAACTTGACAGTCCACAGAAACAATAATTTTAAAAAAGCATGCCCTCCCCCCATTCATACCAGATCCTTTAAGTCTGGCAGGCATTTTAGGAGGGACCCCAACTTATAAAAATAAAAAAAACATGTAGGTCCCCGTAAAATCCTTTACCAGACCCTTGATTTAAGCAGCCACATGCCCTCGATATGGGGAGGGTGCTTTGCCGGGGGGGGGGATGCATCTTGTCCCTATATCAATGAGGATAAGGGCGTCTTCCCCACAACCCTGGCCCGGTTGGGGGGGTCTGCCAGGCAGGGGGGCTTATCTGAATCTGGGTACCCCCTCTCATACAGGGGACACCCAGATGCCGCTCCCCCATCGTGAATGAGTAAGGGGTAGTTGTTAAGCCTACATATTCACCAAATACTCAAATTGTAAATAAACACACCACATTGCAAACAAAAGTCCTTCATTTGAAAAAAAAACAGTCCCGAATATCATTCAGGAGCAGAGCTACTATCATTGACAGCCCTGCTCCCAAATGTCAACAAATGGGCAGAACAAGTTCAGTGATGTCACAACGTGCTCCGCCCCTTTGTTGATATTTGGGTCAGAGCTGTAGTTTTGCAGCAGTGTTCATAGGGATCAGACGAGTCACCAGGCATAGGGTATTTTTTATTTTGGTGAGTCGGTGGCCATTGTCCATCGTGATTGACATGGATCTACATAGCTGGGCGGCTTGATTGATCTTTGGATTACATTGATGGACATTTATTTGGGTTTTGTTTTTTTAATAAAGGACTTTTATTTATGGTGTGGTGTTTATTTACAATGTGGATGTTTATTTGCTGAATGAATAGGGGTATCAGCTACCCCTTACTCATTCACAAAGGGGGGCACTCATTCATAAAGGGGGCACCAAGATTCAGATAAGCCCCCCTGCCCGAAGACCCCCACAACCACCGAGCCTGGGTTACTGGAAAGAGGCCCATGTCCCCATCGACATGGGGACAAGGCGCTTTCTCAGGCCTCCCCCATCCTGGCAAAGTACTCTCCCCATGTCAAGGGCATGTGGCCTGGTATGGTGCAGGAGGGGGGATGCATGCTCGCCTCCCCCTCCTTTCCTGCTCTGCTAGGCCGCTTTTTTGGTGTTGGGGTCCCACCTAAACTTTTTATGTTCATTCAGAATGACATTCAGAAAAAAATTCAGATTCATCAGAAAGTTTTTTTTTACGAAAATTTAGATAAGTTCGGATTCGTTATATATTTTCATTCGAAATTCGGATGTATCCGAATGTCCGAATTATCGAAAATGTATCCAAAATTCAATTTGGAACAAAATGAATCGCAAATGTCTACCTTTATGTCTTTAAAGGTATAAAACAAGGGCAAATGTGCATGTGTTGCAGAGATGTACTGCCTTTTCTGACTTGAAAAATTGTGTTAACTACTGCAGGAATTAGCATATCTCCAAGTTATTTTTCTAATATAATAGTATATGCAGTATTAATGCTTTAATTAAGTACATTAACAATTCATTATGTTTTTAATATATTAAGGTGTCGCACTGTGGCATTGGAGACTGGACTGCAGAACACTCAGTTATGTTCTACCATTGTACAACTATCATTTCCACCTGAGCAGCTGGCTGTGGTATTTACTTTCCCCCTTATATACAGCATTTTCCAGATCTTAATAGCCGTTTTATTCTTACTAGGTGAGTTTACATAATACATGTACATATACACAGCTAAAGTATAGTTCATATAAATAATTACAAACTGTGAATTAACAAGGTTTAGAAAATGTTTTACTGCCAACAAACTGAAAAGCAATATATTGGATTAGGATATTAACTAAACAATAAAAAAATGTTATGTGAGCTAAGATTTTGGTCGATTTTAAGATTTTTACCCATCTTAGATCTAAGTTAATGTTACCCCATTCCATACATTTGAGGCTGCACATGCATTCATATACTGTGTTTAGGTTGAAAATGTGCATATATTCATGAGAGCCAATAAGAGTTTATATCATATAACACAAATGTAAAATTATCTTTCCTAATTGATATTGTGAAGGTTTTGCGCACAAATGCAAAATAGAAGTGTACACAAAGACAGGTAATTGCACTCCTTATATATGCAATGAGAGGTGTATGTACCCTAAATAGCACATATCAATACATTTATGTACAAAGCAAACCATCCAGTGCGACATGAAAATGTATTAGGTCTTGTATATTAAAAATGTACACTGAAAACAGGCCAAATGGCTTGTTTAATGCATCCCCCGCAGCGCCCAGCTTACCAACATCCCCCCCCCCCCCCCCCCCCCCCCCCCCCTCCCCACCCGCCGCCGCGC